ATTCCTGCCTGAACGCTGAAGACGACTTGCCCTAACTGGCTGCCTCTGCAGGAGAACACATGCTGAGGCAGTGGCACCTTTCCCCATCCTCCTCCTCAGCGAGTCGTTTCAGCACCTCTCTTGTCCTCTCCTTCTGCTTCCTGCAACAGCATCTCTCCAAAATTAGTTGGTCTTACCTGCTTCTGTGCCCCTTTGCGTATCTCCCTCCCCTGAAGTACTCTGTGATGTCTCCCTTCTGGAAGATGCTCAGGCCTCTTCAAGGCCTCTGTCTGCTTTGCATCAGACCATCCTGTGCTGCTTCATTTGTGTTCCCCTGGTGTCGAGGCTCTCTGCAGCAAGCGCGGTTTTGCATCCAGCGCCAGATACATCTGTGCAGCTCCATGAAAATGGTCTGGTTCAGGGGGGTGGTCTGGTTCAGAAGGGACTGAAGGCTCGTGGGGGAGGCCCCAGCGTGTCTGACGCCCATAGTGGTTGGGGGGCCTCACAATGAAGCCATTGGGAGCAGATTTTTGCTGCTGAAAATGACAGAACTGCTTCAACCAGCTGACTAGGGATGAAATTTGCCCTCTGTTTTGGAGGGAAGGGAATGAGCTTGGGTTTTCCCATCATTGCTAGATGGAGACCAGCCCATGCTGAGTACCCTGGGAACAATTAATTAACCTCAGAAGAGGCTGCTGGCCCAAATTTCAAACCTATTGGTCATTGCACAAATGTACCCTCTTATCAAAAGCAAATAAAAGTGCAGGAGGTGTGTCTGGCCTAATCCTGTGTTTAACTTGGCAGTCTGTGGTGTGTCAGCACAGGCCCTGTGGCATGCATGCAGGCTCTGGTGCTCTCTGTCTTCTGCCGGGGTGTGCTGCCGGGCAGCCCTTTAATTCTGCTCCTTTCTTGCAGGATCAATCCATAATGCCTGAAGTGCGAGACCTCTCCGATGCCTTGCCCGACTTGCCGATGGATCCCATCACGGGTGTTGGTGTGGTTGCGTCCCGGAACCGAGCACCGACAGGTTATGATGTAGTAAGTAGAACTATTTCAGCTGCTGTTGCTAATGCTTTGGTTCTGCACTAATGAGGCTTTCCTTTGCTGGGAACAGCGTCTCTTCCAGAGAGGGTTTGCCTTCAGATGTGTGCTTTAAGGAGTAATTTGATATCCAGCTGCCCACCTCTCAGCCCACAGCACTTACTGCTTCCCTCAGTGGAGGTTTGTGGGTGCAATTGTGCTACTTCATCTGTGCCACTCCAGAGGAGCATAATTACCTGGAGGAGGGGTTTTCAGAAGCAGCTGGCCACTGTGGCATGCAAATTGAATAATCCTAGTAACATTCATCCTGAAGGAGTCCTAAGTATTGCACAAATTATATCTCTGAATAAATGGATCCCCTATCAGCTGTTTAATCCCACATATCAGCGCTGCACAATGATGATGAGAAGCTCCAGAATGGGAAGCAAAGAGTTTTGCATCCAGCTAAAATTACAAGGATGATTTTGATGGACAGAATGCAAACCTCTAAACTAAGCTTTGGCAGGAGGCTGGGCAGCAGGAAAAGGCAGCTGGATACAGCGAGGGTGAATATGTGAATGGATACAGGGAGGTCACGGTTTAACAGCTGCCTGTTCCTTGGATTAGTTGCTGTGTAACCAACAGCATGATTTTTCTCCCCGTAGATTAGTGTCCCAAACGGTGAAATATCGTAGAATGCTGACCTTGCAGAGCTCTCTATGGGAAGATTTGGCCCATAGTCCATCTGCTCACCTTTCTATGTATCCTGCTCCAGCTGTGCTACATCACACCTTGGGTTTCCAGAGTCACCCAGCTTGTGCAGTTGGGAAACCAGTTGACTTGAGGCTTTGCTCACACTTTTTCAGCTCTGCATCATTGTGTACCCTGTTCAGTGTGAGAAGGAAGAAAATGGACCCAGCTGAAGTAAGGACATGAGGAAGGGAATTGTGAAAAGGCTCCTTAAAGGCCTGGAAGGTTTTTGCATTTACTGCAGTTTTCTGAGTGCTCATTACCTGTGTGAGCCAGGCTGTGTAATTAGCTGCTTGCCCTGATAAAGGAGCACGGGACAATGTGAGAGTTGTGATAACAGAATTGAGTTCTGCCTAAATGACTGGGCAGAGAGAGCGCTCACCCCAGATAGCCTGTCTGTGGTTTAATAGGGAGCTTCAGCGCTAACACAGTTTAAACTAAACAAGATAAAAGAGTCTTCCCGTGGCTTAATCCAATTACGGTGGTGTTGCAATAATGCTTGTGAATGTGGGTCGCTCTCTCCTAGGGGGCACAGAGAGGAGGCTGCCTTTCCTCTCGTTCTTCTGCCTTCCTCTCTGTTTACAAGGAGCTCTTCTCTGACCCTGGGGCCAGCAGACCCCCCTGCAGGCTGTGGGGAGGTGCCTGCTGTCTGCAGTTGTCTTACCCTAAGCGTGGCTTCCACACGCTTGCTCCTCCAGCCTCGTGTACAGCATATCGTCAGTCCGGCTCTGTGCCTGGGTGCTGCGAGCCACAGCCCGTGTTCTTTCCACCATATAGCACCTGCTGTGATGGGGCGCTCTGGGTGCCACCCTGATGTCCTGGTGCCCAAACCCGCGGGGCAGTGGCATGCAGGGCTGTGCTGTTCTTGCCTGGGTGTCTGGGAAGGTGGCTCCTCTGCGCGAGTCAGGGCTCTGGAGCAATGTGTGGTATGCGGGGTCGCCCTTTCCCCGTGACTCTCTGGAACCCGGTCTGTCCTCTCTGAGGGGCTGAAGCCGAGTACGCAGGAGTGCACTTCTCAGGGCAGCAGAGAAAGTCACGTTCTGAGACACGGGCAATGTGCAGGCTTGGGCAGTCTCAGGCTCTGTGTTTCTCCAGATACGCAATTTCCCTGATGAGACACTAGCAGTTGATTGTTGCTTCAGGGTGTAAAGCCTTGATGAAGGCAGCTGCAGCAGCTCCATCCTAGGAGGGCAGTCCCTAAAGCCCTAATAATTAGAGGTTCAAACTGCACCCTGAAGAGGAGAGCCCCTCTCATCTTGTGGGAAGCATTAGCACCAGTTTATCTCGATGTTGTAGTCCCCTTCGGGGTCTGATCACTTTGCCTTTTGCTGCAGCATTCAGTCCCACAGGTGGATTTAGAATTGTGTGGGGAAAGTATTTCCTCTTATTAGTGATGAATTTGACATCGTGTTGGTTTTGAGTTTTGTGATCGGTAAAGTACCCCAATCTCTCTCTGAGACTGCTGTGTTATTTATAGGCTTTACCCGGTTTCCCTTTCATTCATGTCCTTTCTTCAATTAACCATTGCCATATTCTTTTCTTTCCCTTTCCTTTTGCTCCTCTTGAAAACAAGCAAGCAGAGGCATGGGTGCTTTCAGCCTGGGTGTAAGTTAAAATGCCCAGGGGGTGTCCTGGTCCGTTTCCCAGGTTTGCATGGAGCCCCGGGCTTCAGTGTGATACCCAGCTGGAGGTGGTAGTGTGGCAGAGCCCAGGGTACCAGACCCAGGGGAATCTCAGTGAATGGGTCGGAGATCGCTTTCCCTCAGTAGCTTTTTAATTACTCAGAAATCTCCATTGCCTTTGTGTCTGCTTAGAAAACAGCTACCGATGTTCGTACTAACTAGCCAGGTCTTTTAACAACTAAAGCACCAAAGACTTGATTTTGCCAAAAGGTACAGAGTGTGTCTGAACTTGGGTTCCTGAAAATCTGCCCAGACTGGCAAGACTGAACGTATGGGTGGGGAGGAAAGGGAGGAGAGGTGGGAGGCAGGGAGCCTGGGGTAGGAGAGAGGTGTGGTTCCTGTGCAGCTGCGTTCCTTGCTGCGGGCTGAACGCCAGCTCCACGGTGGGGTTTGCTCTGGGGTCGGACTCCAAGCACGCAGCTCAGCTGGGGTTGTGCTGGAGCAGGGACAGCCCTGCACACCGCCGGTGGGGCAGACCCGCCTCATGGGACAGGCGATTTAGCAGCTGTTTGCCAAAGGCCTGTCCTGTGGTAGCAGTAACCCCATACTGACTGCTGGAGTGGTGGGCTGGGGGGCGCCTTCCTTACTGGGTGTCACTCCATCAAGTCTATCTGCGTGAGGAGTGTCTTCCCCCAGCTCCATAAGGAGAAGGACCATTCCTTGTGCCTGGGGTGCTGGGTGCCCAGTGCCAGGTGCAGTGTCCTCTGTCCCGCACGTTCCTCACCTCTTAGCCAAGCAGGGGCTTGGTGAGCTGGGGCTGCACAGTGTCCGTCCTGCTGGGTGGGTCTGCCATGGCCTCTCCAGGTCAGCTCCCTTCTGGGTTGCCCCGCCGAGGGCACGCTGCCGTCGTGAAGCAGTGCTGCTCAGGCGCAGCTCTGCTTCGAGAGGTGGTGGGGATCCTCCTTGCCTGCAGGAGCCCAGCAGATGATGTAAGAAGTTTCCTGTTTATTTTGCTCTGTTTTCTTTCCCTGTGAGTTTTCTGACAAGTTAATGCATGCTTACG